AAGACGTAATGGAACAAACTGAAATCTGCGCTAAAGTCTAGACTTTCAAATCCTCCTGGGTTTATTTTTTAGTAGTGGAGGCAGCAGGTAGCGGACTATTAGTGAGAATAGTTTTTTTTTTTTTTTTTTTTTTTTAAGGTGGCAATCTCAATGCTTCTGTCTTTAAATAGCACTTTCTAGACAGTAGAGGTAGAAACAAAGTTGAAGACTACAGGATTTGAGGGATGGTTTTGTTTTTTTCAAGTTTGGTTTCTAGCAAATGCATCTCAATTTAAAAAGACTCTGAAAGTTTATGAAAGTGGACTACAGAATTCATTTGGAAAAAAATGATATAAGTTAAAAAGTTTGTTGTAGTTACAAGAAATAAACATTGTGGAATATTTTCCTGTGGTCATCTTAATGACTCCCCGTGGCAAAAGTTTGAAGGCATGTCAGATGCTCCATTCTTCAAATGTTAACAAAACGTACTACTTGTTTCAATTGAATCTGTTCTTATTTTAGTAATGCCTTAGGCTTTTACTGCTTGTTACAGGCTCTTCTCATTTTGACAGGAAAGAAGCAAGAAAACATTGTGCCAACTCACATGAGCTGCATAAGCAGCAGCATAACATTTTTGGTGATTCCAAGCTTTTTACTGCACTACTTTTCTTGATATCCATATCTTTTATTCTGGAGTGAATATCTTTTTCAAAAGTAATTACGAGCAGTTCCTTCTCTTCTGGGGTTGAAAAGAAAGTGTTGCAGATAAGGGTTTTTTGGTATTTTTCCTTTAATTGTATGGTCTACCAGTTGTATGTTGATAGTAGGAGCTTGACAGCAGGAGCTATTATTTAACATAAAGATCTATGAACCTTCACAAAAACTTGAGCTAAGTAACTAATCAGTGCATTTGTAATCAATCAGATTCCATACACCGCTCAAATGTCTGTCTCTTAATAACATCATTTAAAGAACAAATAATTCTGTGTTTAAGTGCAGTTTCATTGCATTGGTGGTCTATAGTACAGAACGCATTCTGTAAATTACAGACAAGTGTTATTACTTATATAGCTTTTTTTCATGTCTCCAGAGCATTTTATTGTATTTACAAGTACAAGTTGCTTGTATATTCAAATAGAGGAATAGAAAGATTGTTTCCCCCCACTTTGTTTCTATGTCTAACTTTCTTTTATTTTAGAAAGGCAGTTTAACAGGCAAGGGTCACTTGCTTATAACCTACGTACTACATGGAATAATAACTCCCAGGACCTTGAGCTTTTTCTTTTATGATTATGGCATGTCTAATACCTTGTTAGAAAGCATGCGTCTTGCGTGTTTGACAGAAATGTTTTCCTTGGCAAAATACCAAATCTACTATATCTTCCTTAAAGTGGTAAGGGGAGATTAAATGTTTTACAGGTACTAAAAACATTGGTGGTGGTCTGCTGCAGCTGTGCGACTCAGCTGTCTCACCTGAGCAGTCTCATCCCTGGAGAGTTTTCTTCCTGAGCTTCTCCTCCACCATGCAGGCACTCGGTCCTTGTAAAGGTCTGACAATTTCACTTTGCCTTCTCCTGTATTCAGTAGCACTTTTCAGAGAAATAGCATCAAATCCCTCCGAGTTCCAGGGGGAGACAATAGTTAGCTGTTGAAGTGCAGAAATCTTCCACCATGAGTTTTCATATGTGACTAGTGCTTGTAGGAACTGTATTTTGCTAATACTTGATTTCAGAATATGCAAGGAGATCTTTTTTTCAGAGAATGAATGCAAACAACTGGGAAATAGGCCACTCTGATCTAATCTGCTATTTGAATATTCATGCCTTAAGAACTTACAGAATACCCCTCATTCTTTCAATTAACTGCTTGGAATAAATGTTATTTCAAAAATGCGAAACTTGCTCATTTTATTAACTGACACACAAAGAAAGATATGCTAAGATGAGTCAAAGGGTGCTTTTCTTCTATGCATAATGCGTTTTCCCTCCTTATCTCTATGCCAATCTTTCTGATTCATTACATGAAAGCTACATTAAATTTAATGGAAAACATTTTTTAAGAAATGGATAAAAATGTAAACCCATAGAAGTTGGAAAAATCAGGATTCTGTTTTTTTTTCATATTTTGTATAGATATGCAGGATTTGATTACTGAGCTTTGCAATGATAAATTTAAAATATTAAAAAAAGCTTTTCAACAGCTTGTAAACGCAACCAGTAAATAATACTATTTGACTATGGGAAGAAAATATGAGCAAGGTATACTTTGGAAGAAGAATAGAGAGATGTAAGGGCTCTTTGTTGTCTGATGGAATAAAATTATTAGATTTTTTTCTCTCACTAGCTGAATGGCTTTGGCAATTCAGAAGATTCAAAGCAGCTTTTTTTAATTGTGCTTGTCATAGCCATTTTTTCACGAAATTGCATCTTTCATTAAATTGTGATGGGAAGCAAATGTAATTCATTTGGGGACTTCATTTTAGGATTTTTTTTTCTTTTAATTTGCATTCTATCACCCTAGTATGAACTGGAAAAGACCAGCAGAAATGAAAACACATGGAGAAACTAGTGAATCGGGCATTCTGATGGCCTGACTGATTTCTTCATTCCTGATGAAATGGGAAAGTAGTGTTTAATTTAGTTCACTTAGGTTTTTGTTCAAAAAGCTATGTGCAGATGATACTAGAAGTGTTCTAAAATACTTCATTAAGCTACCTTCAGTCATAAGAAGATGGCAATAGCTTGTTGAAAGATTTTTAGTAAATCCCCTGTAAAAGCACCCTTTTAGTTAAACCCTTATTTTCATGTGATACGGGAATCTCTGCAACTTCTGTGAACCCCCTTTAGCTCCCTGGAACCAACAGGAAAGAATAAAATATAAGGGAAGAAAAATAGATATTAAAAAAAGAAAACCTCTTTCTAGAGGCAAGTATCCAAAAACCATTTGAGTTGATAATAAAACTCAGTTCACTCCATGTAGTTGCTTACATCTTTGGCTTATAAGTTATAAATAAAGGGTTTGCATATGAGTATTATTTTAATTACGAAATTGTCATCATAAAGGTTGAGCGCAGTTTCAAGTGGCATGCAATAGCATACAATGGATTTATTATAGAATATACAACTATATTATTTCACACACACTTCACTTGACGGTATTTAAAAGCTACCTTTTCTTACAGTTGTTTCTTTCCTCTTTAATCCATAAATGTCTATCTTCTAGGTGCATTAAGGTCTGTACCTGTGTGCTGCTGTGGCTTGCTTGGATTTCCTTTGTCCTCTCCGTAGGGTTAGCATGCTTTGGTTTGCATTTTTTCTCTTCTATAATGCAAACCACAGGAAGGGCAGTTGAAGCTGAAGCACTTGCCCTTATTTGCCATCCCTTAGGATTTCCAACTGGGATTTATTTAAAGGGGTGCATGTGTGTGTGTGTACGCACATACACACTTGTATGTGTATCAGGCCTCACAAATATGTTCTTGTCAGGGCTGGCTGCATATCTGCACCACAAAGAGAAATGCAAGGATGAAAATGGAATTTGAGGCTGGTATGTGTTTGCTAAAAGTGCGGAATGAGATGTCCCTGGCAATAAGCAAGGGAATAAGGAGGGGACACCAAGACAAGGTTTTGCGTATGTCTTCCCAGCTATAACTGTCTTTACAATGATGCTGTAAAGGGTTCAAATGGGAATAATAGAAGGAATGACTGTCGTGACCCCCAACAACTTACGGGGGGGAGCGAGGAGGGGGAGCAATCTGATGACCTGAGCACTGAGAAGCTGGAGAAAAGGTTATGATTGGCTTGACCCTCAATATATTAGGAAATAGAGTTGAATGTAAGACCACTAGAGCATCTGAGATGATCCCATAGATCCTTGTAGGTAAGAACAAACTGGCTAAAACAGTATTTGAAAATAAGAACTAGCTGTTTGGTACTTAATGAGGCAGGGCACGCTGAAAGATGTTCAAGAAAAGCATTTTGTCCTAGTTTAGTTTTTGAGCTTTTACAGCTAAGAGGTAAAATAAAGAAACCAACAAAACTATTTTTGAGTATATGAAAATGGGTCTTAATCTTTGCCCCTTTCCACTTGAAACTTCCATTTTTCTCCATAATCAAAGATGCAATTCTTGAAAAGAAAGTTATTATTTCTAAGCTCAGAAACATGTAGGTCACTGCTTTTATGCTCTACATGTTCTAGTAATAGCATAGGCTCATTATTACATGGAGATGGCAGCATAGTTAATATGACTTCAGAAATGGAAGATATCTTCAGTAAGAGTGTAGGAGAGACTAGGACGATGTACCTATGTCATGTGAAAGTGAGAGTACTTTCCAGGCCATTAATGATCAAAAAATGGCCTTGAGTAACATGCACTTGATGATAACATTTCAAAGCCCGTGAACCCAAACACTATAAGGTCTAAATTAGAGGTTGTGAAAGAGGTCTAATTATAGGGGGCATGAAGAGTACCTTTCAGTGTACTTAAATGCCAAACTACACGTTTGGAAATTAAATATTCCTAAAGAGTATTGTTTTTAAACCTAAGGTGTAAAGTGGCTCCCTTATATTAATTCAAGTAAGAGAGGACAACTCTTTCTAATGTTGGGAACATCCTAAATGAGAAAGCAATTATTATTTTATTTTCAAAATTTGAAACTTTCAGTTTTGTTTGCTAACAGCAGCAAGACAGAACACCTACAGTTACTAAACTGCTTGAGAACAGCCGAGGAGTAGGACCTAGAAAGGAAAATGTGTAAATGAATGCAAGCCTTATGAATAAGAATTATGAGTGCTATTGACTAAAGAACAGGCGTGAACTGGTTTGCCAGTGTTTAAAATGTTAGTGACCTCCTTATAAATTACCTCCATGCTTTCTTCATTACTGAGGAAGAATAATTGCTTGTTACTGCTGCCCTCCGCTCCCAAGGGCTCTGTCATTCTAGAGTTTGCTGCTCTTCCCCAGCAGCCCTAATGCTGTGTTTTAATTAGCAGATGCATCAGGTACTTAACAATGGTGTTCTTCTTTTCCTAGTAATTCCTTGTGAATTAACACTTCTGAGGCGGTTTCTAGAAGATTTGAACAATCTGTCTTACTTGGCAGACCTGAGCCAGGATGGTGAGAGAGAACCTGGCGAAACTTGGATGGAAAACATGATCTGACTGTGGTTGCTTTGTTTTGCCTTAGCTGCAAATATGCTCTTGACTAGATATGTCTGACCATGAAGTATAAATTCTTATAATTCCTGCTTCAGTGGGCTATATTGAAGGTACTGGCTTCTAGTAGGAGTCAGCGGTGTTTATCAATTTTAATATAATTCCTCAGGAATATTGCTGCTGACACTTTAATATGATGTGGTTTGTCAATTCAAGCCTTGTTTTTTTTGCAAGTAGGAAGTCTCATAGCCCTATAGTTTTTAGGGGAAGATTATACAAAGAATTTAGGGGGAGTTTTTATGGGAGAAAGCCATAATCCATGAAAATGTCCGTGTTGGTTCCTAAATAAACAGGTTTAGGAGGATGTGGTGGGTGGTGGTATGTTGTTTTTGTTCTTGCCATTAGCTGTTCTATTCGGCAGGTTGTATTTATTATCTCAAAGGTGTAGTGTTGAGAGAATTCTAAATGCGACTCTAAAGTTCTTATTTGAATCACAGTGGGCATCTCAATTGGAAATTGCTCCTGTAGAGTTCGTTCTGTAAAGGTTTAATTCTCATTGCTGATATGCTCTACAGAATTCTTTGTATAATCATGATTAAAAATCATGCCTTCATAAGCCTATTCATGTGAAATACTAACGTGTTCTCATATGAACTGATACTGTAGCTCACTGTGCCGATACCTCTAGTACTCAACTCAAGCGCCCAAGGGCCACCTGATGTGCAGAGCCCAACAACCATGACTCCTTAGCATTGGTTTTGGTGGAGAACCTGCCACAATGAGAATTTGGGGGGATGATTTGTAGTTTTCTTTGCACTTGTGTCTGTGTGACCTTTAGCAGCTTGTCTCCACTTTGCTTTTAAGTTCCTTGTATAAAGAAAATAAACCTTCTCCCTGCTCACCCTGATTTATGAAGATGGCTTAAAGTAGTCATCAGGAGTATCTGGTATGTTAGAAACCTGAGTAGAGTTCCTGGAGTAAACTGTGGTTTAGATAGTGTGACACTGTGTCCTGACAACATTCTCCTATACAGGAAAGTATGTGGTATTTCTCTGCCTTGGCTTAGCAAAAATGCAAATGTAAGTTATGTTTTCTATCATGGAGAGCATTGACCAAGGAGTTTTTCATTATTTACATTAAAATAAAAATACCTCTATTACTTATCCTTCCAAATGGTTTGCAAGCATTAAAAAACAACTTCTGGTAGCAACTTGTGGTATTATCTCTTAAAAAAAAAAAGGGGGGGGGATCGGATTTAGTAATAAAATGAAGGTCTTTTTAGAATGTTATACTGTTGTTTATGGTTAAATAAATAAAGCTAGGAATACTTTATCCACAAAGTTGCAAGCAAATTCAGTAAAGCAGAATATAATTACTGTCACTTAATCATTAGGTTGACATTTCCTTGATCTTGGAGTTCTTCATTGAACAGAAATTCTTTAGTGATCATTCATGGTTGAAATTTCCAGTTTTCCTTTGTGTATTATCTTCCAATTTTACCTTTAATATTTAAGAATTTCATATTGTTATATCTGATATTAAAGGCAAGGAAAAACAAATTCCATTCCTAGGAGTTCGTAAATATGCTCCTTAGAGCCACAAATATTTTCAGATAGTCTCTGTAGAAAAAGTATTAGTGTAGCATGTGTGTCTGCTCTCAGGCTCTGGTAGGGGCATTTGAGCTCTCCAGTCACAGCAACAGAGAGGAACAGGAAAGTGGAAAGCTAAAATGAGAATGAATAGTTTTGGCTCTTTATATCCATTATCTGCATGCAATGGATTTTAAAGATGAGCTGCACAAAGAATATGTTGCAACACAGCAGGGGTCCTCTTGCATGTCCTACTCAACGCACTAGTACCACCACCTTGTTTTCTGCTTTTTGGGTTTGTAACCCTTGCTGTTTCTCCATCTACAAGTTACTTGGCATACAGTTGGGTTAAAAAAAAGTTTTAAGTTTGCAAGTTTTAACCTCCAAAGGTTAACTCAGAGCATGTGTTATTGGAAAACAATATTTCTAAAAACATGTTGCTACTTTACTGACAGATAAAAAATTCATACGCCCCAATTGCCAGGTATTACATTGAATATGTATTTGCTGGAATAATAACAGAAAACAGAATAGCTCCAAGGATGTACAGTGTTTACTGAAATTGTACAATATTATGTGTTTAGTTTTCTCTAAACTGAAGCTTATGGAAAAAAATTTAATGAATCCCTATACATCACTTACCTTTATTCCAGGTTTATAGCTTTAACGATCAATTGCGATGAACTCTCTCAGCTGTGTGCATTTTGACATACAGGGCTCACGTGGCTTCATTTATTTAATCTAGAAAGCTGAAAGAAACCCCAGATGCAGCTGTGTGGATATTCAGAAGTGTAGTGTGCTTCTCTTGAAAGCAGGATATTTTTCCTTGCAGGATGCTCTCTTGGTCTTGCAGTGTGTTGCATTCTTTCATGAATAAAATCAACTTGCTTCCTTGAACTGAATGTATCTCAAGCTTTACAGATTTAATGCAATTTGAGTGTAATTAGTAGAGATTTTGTGTAATTTTTCAAGAAAATCAGTATGGAAATGAGTATTAAGTTTTTATGTGTGTATATGTATCCATGCACACAGAAGATTATTAAATACAATGTATTGCAGACCATATATTTAAACTCTTTCATTTATGAAAGATGACTTTAGTGGAGGTTACTTACAGTAAGATCTCTACAGACTTTGTGCAGGTTTTGTGTCCGTAGACAGCTGCCCTTTGCTACTCTACAAGCAGCTTTGGGGTTCAAGTGTGCAAACAGTGTTTGGAGTATATTAATATTACACAGGACTAATACAAAAGAACTGCAGTATCTTTACATATATATATATATATATTTCCCATTCACTTCTTATTGGTGATTTCCATTGGTATATGAATTAATTATTCAGAGTAGAGCTGCGGTGACTAATAGATAATAAAATAAGGTCCTGCATGGGCAGGCCACAGGACAGAGCAGTGGAAGAGAAGCTTAAAACTTACGATTTATTAGAGGTTGTCTTTTCCCCACCACAAGCCTGAGGATCAGCAACTTGATGATCTTAAGTTTTCTTGTTATTAGAGTCAGTTCTTCCTCCTTTTTGCACAAACAATCTTCATACTGGTCGCATTTCAAAGAACAGATTAAAAGATCTTTTCAGTATTTACAGCGAAGCCCAGTATTACTCTGAAAGCCCCAAGAAGCTCCGATCAGTCTTTAGGTCCTCATTAAGCATCAGTTCCATCAATTGCTTTATTCCCTGTGAGCAAAGTGGTTACATCTGGGCCCCCGTGGAGCTGAACAGACATTTGTATTAATGGAGCACTGTGTGGTCACTTCTAGCATGGCTATCTGCAGCTTCAAAGGTAAGAATCCCTGTTGTCAATAGCTCCCTGCACTGGAAACAGCATGCTACAGGGCCAGCTTATTCCTGATTCCAGCTACCACGCTGTGTGGGAGTATCTTTGTCTTTTTGTGGGGGTGGGGAGAAGGAAAGGGCCAGGACATTTCCTTTTTCCTTTTTTTTTTTTTTTTTTTTTTTTTGGTAGTTTGGACTTTCTTCATTATGCAATTCCTTATGTTCTTACACTTAATATTTTCTCCGTGCCACCCACTCTGCTGGAGATGAGTGGGCTTCTTTTGCCTCTCTCTCCAACCCAGACCCAGACCTAGACCTACACGCTTGCCCGCCTCAGTCCTCATACGCAAGTGTTTAGGAGACTCTACCATACGTCAAAGCTATCACACTTAAGACCATGCTTTTTGCAATAAGACCAGGATTTTGTGATACTGCTTGTTCGCTGTTTAACTCCATGATTTACCCATAGAGGTTGACATGTCCGTTTTGAAGTGTGTCTAAATGGCTCCCGACCTTCTCTTTATGACCATCGGTGCATCTATCACAGTGAGACATAAATGAACTGTGACTTTCTGTAGCAGCAGAAATTTTTTAGTAGGAAGTAGCATAGCCCAGCTGATTGCTGATCAACCCCCTGGCCAGCTTTGCTCCTGCAAGTGATCACACAACTGGAGCAGTTGGCTTCAGCTGTGAATTTTGTTCGGGGTAAACACAAGGGGCTCATTTGCTATTGATTGGCGAGAGATGGCAACAGGCAAGGATGGGGGGAAGCAGGGCTGCGTGCTGCTAAGAAAGGAGATGGTCAAACAACATCATGCTTCACGAATTTTCAGGTATAAAATACAGTAGTGGTTTTACTTGCTACATACGAGCCTTGTACCCAGAGTTATCAGACAATGGCTAGAATGAAGGGTGGAGAGTAGCAAGGAAACTAGGTGTCTGTGCACACACTAATCAAATCTTTTGAGAAATTCTTCTAATTTAAAAAAAAAAGCTTTCAGTAAAAATGATCTAAAAGCTCTCTATAGATACGCCCAATCTAGAGTTTTAAGTGTAGTGAAAATTCATCTATATTAAAATTGTCTATTTTTGCTAAAGAGCAGTAGCATCTGCCTAGTTGCATTTGCTAACTCTTCTCTTCTGTAACACTGCTGCTGTCACCATTCAGACCACTCACAGCATAACTCATGCCGAGAGCTTCCTGGGGCTGTACAGATTTCTGTCCTCTGTTTAGCCTGCCAGTATGATCTATCCAAAGCAGGTGATCTTTCCATCTTTACCATTAGATTTATTTCATTACTTTGCACACTACCTTTTTCATAGTAAAGATGCATTGAAAGAAGATACATAGAGGCAGATAGAGGTGGATATGAAATAGAGGCAGTTAAGATCTGGTTATGTTTCTACAGGATAAGGCCCAAAAAATAGCAGGAAAAATATTTCAAAACTCCAGGACCTTTGTTTTCTCATCTTTTGGCAGCTGTCAGTTTTGCCAGAAGGATTTCTTGTCATGTTTTCAGACATATTAACATTGTAGGAAAATATACTGTACTGTTCATTATTTGCAATGTGGTAGTACTTCTAAGGCCCCTTTGAGCTGAGCAGTATATTATTACAGTTTACCAAAAAGTAGGCCCTTGCCTCTAAAGCTGAATTAAAAATCTTTATAGGTTTATATTTATTTTTGTGTATACAATTATAGAATATATAATTATAGAATATAAATGCTAAGAATCAGATATCTAGAGTTTACAAAGCAATGTTCAGTAACTTTATGTCTCTTGGTGAAAAGTAGATTTTTCTTTTCTGTTCAAAAAAAAAAAAACAGAGATTGCCAGAACCAAAACCAAAATATTACTTAAAATTCGGACATATCTGTCAGAGATTTTGTGATTGGCACTGATATGGCCTTTCTCAAATGTGGTTTAATGAATCCGACACTCTTTTCGACATCTTATGTGATGACTAAATATAAAGGACCCAACACTGAACTGAATTCTGTTCAGCCTGTAACTAAGTACTGAACAAAGAAGAACAGTACGATACTTTTATTGGAAGTCATATTTGCTTGGAGAAAATATAAAGACATTCCAGAAATAACAGTCATAAGCCATTTTGTGTGAATGGTTTATTTAATGAAATAAGACAATAAAACAATAAAAAAGGTTTTATAATAAGCAACAGGCATTGTCTCAGCAGACATTCTTATGTTTTATATATTTTGTACAAGTAGTTTTTTCTTGATTGCCTGGCCTCTATCAAGTTTTTCATGGGCACCACTAGATATAACTCTCAAAAATAAAATCCCCCTTTATTTTTATTTTTTAGTTTCTCCTCCTGGAGAGCACAGTGTAGTTGCCTGTGAAATGACATGCACAATAACTATGTTATTTTAAATCTCCTGATTTAACAAGACATGAGAGACAGACTTGACATTATCTCCAGTGGCTGATTACATTTCCTGCTGGTGGATTGCTGTTGGGAGACGGGCGAAACTCTTGGTGGGGCAGATAGAATCTCCTGGTCGGCTCTGCTGTAATTAATGTGGAATTTGAAGCAGAAAATCCAGACTGTCAGGGATGTGCTCAGTAACTCATGCCAAGATCTGCTTCTCAATAATGCTTATCTTTGGAAGGGGCATAGTTAATTCCTTCAGTAGCCAGTAACTTATTACAGAAATTACAAATCTGCTGCAAAATCAATACAGCTAATTGTAAATTAGTAGATTTCTAAGTGTGAAGGAGAGTGCAATAACGTAGATGAGTCCGTGGATGAGCATGCCAGTTCGGGTGTTAGGGGTGGGAGCTTCCTGCTGTTTTATGTGACATCTTCAAGTGTAAACACATTTCCCTTCCTTTCCCCGACTGATTTAGTCTGCTAGTGTAGCAAGTAACGTTTCCATTAGCCTCCCACCGTTAAATCGTGGAGTAACTATAATCACAAAAGCAGCCAACACGCAAGCAAACTAATAGAGCAGCGATGGTGGTCAGGGCTTATCTCCATCTTACAGACGTTTTTGGTGAGTTCACCACAGTTGGTGCAGAAACAACTGCCTTCAAACTGAATCTAATGAGGAAGAATAAAAGTGAAGGATAACATCTACAAACCAGTCTGTACTGTAACGCGTATGTTTGCTAGAAAGAAAAACTTTTTTGGTGCAGTGCTTTCTTTCTGTGCACTGTTTAGCAGCAAGGCAGCAGCCTGTGTTTCAATGCCAAACTGATGCGGTGCTGGAAGAGGAAGAGCCAGTATCAGGATGCTTCAGATTTTAAATAAAATGAAAAAGAGCTAAGTCTATTAGCATTTTCATATGTTACAGCAGTAGAACAAAAACGACATTAAGGCAGAAAAAAATTTCCTGTTTATGGTTTGCAGCATTTTGAATCTGTAAAAATGTATGGGCTGAAACCATCTGTTTGCCTATGTGCAATAGCCATAACTCTTGGTGATTTTGCTTTAATTTAAACTAGAATCAAAGAAGGATAACTTTCACAAAGCTTCTCTTTTTATAAAAGTCTCAGTATAGTAAAAAAAACTTCAACTTGAAGCTGAATGGCCCTGAAAGCAAGGGTAACTTTTGCAAGCAAGTCTTTCTGAAGTGGGAGAGCCCTTGCCTTATTCTGATACTGAAGCCTAGGAAGTTGGCATGAAGGTCTTCATGCTGAAAGTTAACCTTACAGTATTGTGTCCCTGTTTGTGTAAAGATATGCCTGCAAGTATTAATGAACCTGATAGTGGCTCCTTCAGTATATGTTATGTGGTTTTGATGACGCAAGGTATCATAAATTGTGGTCTACATGTTAAATATATCCATTAAGTATTTTGTGTAGAATTAATGTGCATAGAAGTGGTGGTTGCCTTTGTGATACTAGTCTGGAACCTTCTTCGTGTAAAATATGTTTTGAGGTTTGAAGTGCTCTTTCTCTCCTATAAAACAAGCAAATACTAGAATAATAAAATCAGGGCTGCTGTTGCTCTATAGTAAAACATAGTAGTTAAGCCTGGAATGCCAGTGGAGCATTTGTGGCAAGAACAGTATTGCATTCCATGTGTTCTCTTTTTAAAAAAGCTGTGTGGGAGCAATTTAGTAGTGATAAGCTTTTAGATTTGGTCTAGCTCTTCCCATTGAGGCCAGTAATGCTGAACACTTCTAAAAATCTTAACTCTTCGATGTTTAATGGAGAATGTTTGTCATTACATGCTGATAAGTTAAATTATTCTGGAAACAGAGCAGGGTGTAGTTTTTGCTGTGTAATAGTTTGAGTCTTGCTTCAGTTTCATATTGGGAAGTTTGAAGGTCCCCAAACTGGGAAATTACAGAATATTGAACAGGATTTTAAAGAAACATATTGTAATCACTTTGCTGTTGCTTCAATTTTTCCCTAGTGGTGCCAAGAGCAAACCATACCTTACTGTTGATCAGATGATGGAATTTATAAATTTTAAGCAACGTGATCCACGATTAAATGAAATCCTTTATCCACCATTAAAACAAGAACAAGTTCAACAACTGATTGAGAAATATGAACCCAACAGTAATCTAGCAAAGAAAGGTCAGTGGTTTTTATATTCTTACTCTACTCGGTTTCTGATTTGAAACAATAGATCCATTATTTTACAGCATAAGCTAAAGCAAACTGGTTCAGAATCAAATTTCATTTCCAACTATCTGCTTTTGGATCATACAAGCCTGTGAGATATCATGTGGTTAATTTTTAAGTATGTTTTGTTGGAATCAATGTAGGAAGGATGTACTAGTTAACTGTGTAGTTTGCAATATGTATAACTGGTGGTTTATAACAGTTGTATGGTAGACAAATTTAAGCATAAACTTTACTATACCAGTTGCTGTTTACTGACATCTGAAATGTAAAATTTAACGAAATAATCAGTGGCAATGAAACGAGCAAAAAATAATAGTCATTTAATACCACTAGTAGGTCCAGCCCTCTGCTTTCTGATAAAGTGAGATGTGAGAGAGTTTCATGCTATAATCACAGAAAATTCCTTTTTGAAAATCTTAAGGGTTGCCGGGGCTTTACTGGGCATTTTGCCAAAAACAGTGAGCGAACTCCTGCTCAGATCTCTGCACATAGGTTTTTACTACCACCACAAGTCTTAAAATTGCACTGAATTTGTGTTTGCCTTCTGTTTTATTCCAATCCACATATCATAATGACTACCTGTGCTTTTAATGTGTTTATACCTCAGAAATTTTAGGGGCATGGAAATATCTGGAAAAAACAGAGCTGATAGGAAAAATCTGTTTTAGTTCAGAGACTTTGGACCCAGCCTCAGGAGTTGCTCAGCATCCGCTGAGAGCTCCTGGGCAACCTGGACTCCACGTCCTCGGTCCTTTGAAGAATCAGGGTCAAAATAGCCTCAAAGAGACAAAGCCCTTGAATCCCCGGTTAAATAAAACTATCAAGGTCCTGTCAGTGGCACATTATAAACAGAAAGACTGCTGATGTAAATGACGGTGTGATAAAATATTGCCAGCAGCTTGTAGCCAGATTAATTAAATGGAGGCCTTTGTGCTTGTAGTGTAGACTGACACAGATGCAATTCATGAGTTGGATGAAATCCCTCCTTGCTGGTGCAAGTGCAAGACTCTGTCAGATGATGTGTCTGGTCTGCCTGGTGTTGCTGTGGGCACGTTGTGGTTCTTTCACCCTCAAACCGGTGTCTCCACACAGCCCAGGGTGTCCCAGGCAGTGAGGGTTTCGGAGG